TGAAAAACAAGCAGTGGTAGCAGGTGGACTCTGAGTACCCACTCTAACTCAGTTACAACCACTGTGGCATTTCAGGAACTGTTCTGCTGTGCCAAAGTCCCTATGCAGTCAGAAAAGCATGCAACAAGAAACACATGAAATGACAAGAAGCATCTGCTAGTTTTGCTACTTCTGTGAGGAGTGACAACAGATCACTAAAAAAGAACCGGAACAAACTCAGAATCCTCATCTAAAATCTGATTTCAGATTTTCAGCATCAGAATTTTTTTAGGCTACCATGCTACCATCTGAAAAGTGCAATGAACTAATTCTTCCAATTAGCTTGGATGCATACACTTCAGAAGTTTTCTTACATCATTTTAGTTAGAATTTGATCCACAATCTTGTCAAGCCTGTGTTACTATTTTAAAGTACTAATAAAATACATTACTGAGTTTCTCTTTGAGCTTTGTTGCTTTTCTCTTATTAAAAAAATAATTGTTGACTGTCTTGTACTATCCTGTGATCTGAGCTCAGTCAGGCTGATTAGCAGTGACAGCATGTCAGAGGTCATTACCATTAAACACACCTCAGTGAACAACTCAATGGAGTTGTTATTCCAACAATGTAGTCCTCACAGGTGGTTTTAAGAATTAAAAAGGGAATGAACTCCAAACCACTGTGGGCTGTAACCTGCATGCCTGAGCAAATTCTGCTGCTCTGCACTGGCTGGCCCTGAGCAGCTCCACATGGTCCCACAGTCCCAGGGGACTCATCCAGCACAACAGTACTGCTGGAAGAAGCAACATCTGAACATTTACAGCCAACCCTTGTGGTTCATCTAGGAGAAGCTGGAAACAAGAAGGTGCTCGGTATTTTCAGCTCGAAGATTATGGCTTTAATAAGCCCATGGTCAAAGGAAACATGTCTGTGTGTGTGTGCTCTACATGTAAATAAATATTTATCATTTACATGCATATATGTGTGCATATGTCTGTATATGTATTATATATGTATTTATACATACACAGTCACCCACATACGGATAGTCACATTCATATATAGGTGCATATACCTATAATCTTCATACAGATATCTGGATTTTAATATATATGCACATAGATTTTCTTGACCATTTCTTTTCATAAACAGCCTTTAAGCTTGCTCTTCCATTTTCACTCTGATTCATACTGGCAAGAAATGTGTTCATATGTCTATTATGTCTGTACAGTGAGAGAAGGAAGAAAGTGTATGTGTACAGATATAAATACATATTTTGCACACAGTCTCAGCTGACTGTAATCCGTAGATCACCACCCACACCACAAATACAGATTCATTTCTCTATCAGCAGGTCCATTTTCACATATCCTGCATAAAAAACATTGCAACATGACTAGGTCAGCAGCATTTTGTCTTCTCTCCCCTTAAACAAACTGTTCACTGCTAAATTTCTTGCAGTCTGGTGGAACAATCCTGAAGGACTAGGTGGACTGCTTACAGCCACCCACTTTCTAACAAATATCTGAATGGAGTCTTCTCCTCTGCCAAGGTTTTCAATAAGTACAATTCTGTGAGTGCTGGTAATTTATGAGGAGCTATAGCTTCAGGGCCAGGATAACAAGTATCCTACAAAAAACAAGCACAGTCCAATTCGGCCTAAGTAAAATTACAAATGTTCCTTCAGAGTGCCCATGCACAGACTGGCACCAAGCATAACCATTTTATACACATCCACACATACTCTAAGTGCTCTTCCCAACTCCCCAGTCTCTCCTTTACAATCCCAAAAGCAGCCCTGGGAGAAGCAGCACCTTCCATTCTAGGAAAATGCATCACACAGGGTGGCTCAAGTGGAACAAAAGTAGCTGCAAGATGGAAGGGTGAATGGAAGCACCAAGCAAGCAGTGTATGCTACAACAGCACAGAAAACACCTTAAAAAAAAATCCTATCGCCTACTTCCATGCTACAAACTTACTCTCTCTGCTTATTAAAAGTGTTTCAGTGAAAAAAATAAAATTACTTTAAAAATTATGATGGGGCTGAATTTCAAACAAGGGAGAAATTCAGCCTATTAATCATTGAGTTAATCTATTTATTCACCTTGGAAAAATCCTGATCAGGAGAAAGTCCATTAAAAGAATGCAGGGATTTAGCTGCCACCTTTTTCACTGAATAGGCAATCAGAAAATGCCCTTTGAACCCCACGTTAATAAAATTCTCATTAAATGCAAGCCTGCACAATGTTATCTTGAAGAGGCTCATTAGTTTAAAAAAAAAAAAATTGTCTCAAAATGTGTTTATTTCCTCATAGGTGAGAAGGTGAGTTTTCAAACCACCAACTGCTGCACCTTCCTATTTCAACCCCACCAGTGCTGCAGCTATATCTTGCAGTCTATCACATCTCAATTATTTATGAAAGCCACAGAGACAAATCCACAGACAGAAATTATAATGACTATTATGAGATAGGACAGCAATCAGAATCACTCATTCCAGTTTGGTATGTAAGATTTTCAGACAGATAAGGATATTATTATTCTTTCTTCTTCAATTTTTCAATCTTTCTTTCTTCAATTTTTCATTTTCCTTGAGTTGGACAGAAATTATAAATTATCTGTAAAAAGGAGAAAAGGCAGGAATAGCCTCCCTGTCTCTTAATATTCAAAAAGAATATTCATGACTGCTTTTTTGACTGGAGTAAGAACAACAAAACTCAGACTGTGCACTGGAGAATTTTTAGTCCAACTAAAAGGTACTGTTCATACCATAACAGGATACACAAAGCGGGATCTCTCTGTAGCTGAGTTTAAAGGAGAACATGTCTAAGATCCTCTACATATTACTCATTCTGACTGTCTTTTTAAGCAATTAATCAGCAGAGCTCATCGGTCCAGCACTGTGGGGTACAAGCAGGACTGTTTCGGTGTCTCCTCAACACTTACTCCTGTTACACAAACACACTGCAGCCTTGAAACTTTATAAACAACTCACCACTCCTCTCCTGGCAAAAATGCACATAAAAATGTACACTAGGATTTAGGACACTTGTTAAAGCCCACTGTATGCATGCACAAGCAGATGCTTTTCCATTTCTAAAACCCACTAAAAGCCCTAGGATAAGGAAATTGCAATGTTTATTTATTTTTAAATAGCTTGTGTAATGAGACCAAGATATAAAACCGAAGCATGACTTTGCACTGCACAGTTACAGCAAAAAGCACATAATCACTGCTCATAAAAGCTTTACAGAATGATGAAGCAAGGTGAGGAAAAAATCCAGTGTGGATTTCTCTAAATTCATTTCTTTCATGGCAAAAGCATCCAAATAAGACACAGTATGCTAAGACGGCTCTAAGGGAAAACCAAAGGGGCACAAACAAACAGGAAACCTGGATAATGGGGAATGAAGCCAGGTTCTAGTCCCAGTCACCACTTTGAACCATCACACTGCCAAACAAAAGCACACTACCTTTTTGGACTTACCTGCCTACTATGAAATCTACTCAGCTAAAGAACCCTTCAAACATAGTATTTTTACCACCAGAAGAAAAACAAACCAGAAGACAAAACCCTCCCTTCTTTGCTTTTTTTTTCTTTTGAGAGCGAGGAAATAGGATAAATCATACAGACTAACTTCTCAGAATTCTAATCCCTCTCAAGGCCTTAAATCATCTGTAATTTAGACCTTTACTAATTTCACTGAATGAAAAGCAATCATTCATGAAATTTCAATATAGATGAGCAGTTGGGTGCAGCAGAGGAAAGCTCCCAGAAGTCCAGAAGAGAAACAGACTAGAGGCTTCACTGATTCCAGACACCACCGCATTCTGAACATGTCTGAAGGCATGTCATGGTGCAGGTTTTTTGGTTGCATCTTGTCTCAGCTGCAAGCTGATCTTCAGAAAAGCAGTGGCAAAGCCAAGAGGAAATAAGCCTATGCAAAGACTTGGTTCCACAAAGCAGAGGTTTGTGCACAAACTCTCTGTGATCACTTGGTTAGAGCATTCCCAGAGCAGACACTTGGTGTCACGTTAAGTGCCAGTAGTCAATAGCCACCTGTTCTGCTGCTTCCCTCCAAGAGCTCTACCAACCCACACATGTTCACTTACAGCTGTTTAAAAAATACCCAAAAATAAGCACAACAGCAAAATAAGTCTAGAATAATATAGAGTACTAGCAATGCAACATTACTGAGTTACTTGGTGTTGCACAGACACAAAATGTCTGTGGTGACTAGGGAAGTGATAGACAGATTTTTTTTTCAGTGTAAGTACTTTTATCTTTTATGGTTTGTTTACAAGCCAGAGCTAAGAAGTCAATTTTCCCTCTCAGCATTCCTCCATTTTCCAATCAATCATATCCATAATCCTCTTGCCCAGTACCCAGCTTGATCAGTAGTAGCTGCTTCAGGTGCCAGAAAAATAAATTATTGCCACTGTGAAAGAATACATACCTATGAATCTATGAAAGAATAGATTTACACTCCTTAGACTTACAAGTAAAGCATAACTTCTCCCTTTCTGCCCTTGAACAGGAAGAGGAGGCTGAAGAGAACATTGAAATGTCCTTAAATAATCAGTTTTAAACACACACAAAAATCTTGCAATATTAAGAGGCCTCGAATCTGCTCATTACAGCAGGCTTACAGTCCCCTTCATAGCTTTGTGGAATTGCAATAGAATCATGCAACAGAAATTCATTAGGTTCACAATTGCTCTGCCAGCACAGCATTATTCTCTACTGTATAACTTCCCCGAAGAATGATGTGAAGATTAATTCATTACAGTTGTGCTATGCTTCGGTCTACAGAAGAGCTAAGAAAATTATTAGAGGACAATCAAATCCTGGTAACCATTCCTTTATGCTTATGAGCCCTGTTTAGAGCAACAATTTAGCCCAACAAGTAGAACAAATTCAAAACAAAATTCATTAAAACAAATGTGAAACTGTCATTATAGAGACGTAGTCACACAGGAAATAAGAAACTTTAAAAGAGTATTTCATTTCCACTCCTTACCTAATATTGACTAATGCATGGGTCACCTTGCTTGCAGGCTCCTTCCATTGACCAGCATTGGTAGACAGCCTTAAAACTAAAAGAAGACGACATTTAGGAGTGCTGGCACAGAACTGGCAATTTCATAATTCAAAACAGGGGAAAAAAAAAAATCTGCTTTGGGAAGACGGCAGTCCAGGAACCACATCAAAACAAAGGTTAGCTCTGAGATTGTGATCCAGGGTAGAAGTTCCTTTCAAAGCCCATCTAAGAAACATAAGGAACATGGAAGGGGTGAGTGGAACAGAATAATGACTTGGAAGCAGAGGGAATGGAAGAACCTGAGTCCTCCGAACTGCTTTCATTATCACAGACACAGTTCATTTTCCCAGAAACAGAGCAGAGCCCCAAGCCTAGAATAGCTTTTATTCCACACACAGCTGTTCTCCTCCAGCTCCTGCTTACACAAGGTTCCATTTGAGCTGGACTGCATACTGCAGTTTAAACCCTCTCCAGCAATGAAGAATTCTTTACATGCCCATTTATGTAGAGTTGCAGAGGGGAATTACACACCAGCGTGAAGAAAAAACACTGCCTGCAGGAAGAAAGGTGGTGTTCTCTGGCACAGATGGTCTCTGACAGACTTAAGAGCAGATCTGAAAACATTCTGCAATAGGAAGAACTTCTAGGGAATCCAATTATTTTTTGCCAGTGTACCAAAAATATTTATTTAGGTCAAAATATGTACTGTTTTTATGATGGCACTTACTTGCACAGCTCTTGGTAAGCATCAAAACAATAACAGATCCTGTAGCAGATGTTTTGATTAATTTCCATATAGCCTGAACAAAGGGAATTTTCTATGAATTTGTACATACAGGGTTTTCTGGAGGTTAGACTCCACAAGAAAGGTTCACCCTCAATTTAGAAGTGAAGGAACAGCTCACCAATCAAATTTAGGATCATCCAGAAATACGGATGCTACAAGTGAATACTTAAGCACAGTGGCTGCATACTTATGCCTATAATTGAAGGACAGAAGCTTTCAGCCCTGCAGATCTGCAAAGTTCAGTTTCAGAACAAGAGAAAAAAAATTAAGTAAATTACATTCCACCTCCACTACCAACACTTAAAGTTTTAAGCACATTAACAGAAAAACTAAAGGACCAAGTAACAAATACCCCAAGGCTAGGGGACAGAAGGGTCACTATAGCCTCAGAGACAGCCTGACAGGGAAGCTATCAGGACACCTGGTAGCCTTCATCAGCTTGAGACGGTGCTACCTTCTCACTTTCTATTCTACCATGAATACATGGTAGAATAGTCATGTTACATGTCACCTGCAGAAAAAAGTTGTCAGCTCTGAGTAACATTGTTTTGTCAAAAAATAGGTACTGTACTTGAGTATCTGAGGTAATATATTCAATTCAGGCATCTGCAAGAGTAATTCAAGATGGATTTGAAAAAAAACATTACCTAGTAAAAGCACCTCATCTTACTAGTTGCAACTCTTGGGAGTAGAAAATGGGTTAGCAAAAAATCACAGGCACTCAGAGGGCAGAAAAATGGCCAAGTGATCCCTTATGTAATGGCTGAAAACTGGGAAATTTATACGAAAGGGCAGTTTGTTTCTGCTTGCAGTTACAGAGGGCAGTCAGCTACTTTCATTTAGGTGAGAATGTCTCTCTCCCATGTCAGAAGAGGGCTGTGGACAACTGTCTGCCCTTTAACTCTCCTTATATGCTTATATTAACTCCTGTTGTTCTTAGGGTGATCCCACTGAGAAAGGAGCAGAGGGTGATGGAACGAAAGGTCCTTTTGGAATAAAGCAAACAAAGAACACAGCTATATTCTTTTTTTCACAGCTTCAAGTATGCAGCACTACCCTGGGCTGCAGGTTCCTGTGTATAACACTGCCTGATTATGCCTCCATGCATTCCTTGCTCTTCTTTGTTCCTCTTCCCTGCTGGGTGTCACTTGGCTCCCTTCCCTCTCTCTTGAAGGATGGCAGCTTCTCCCTGTTTTGCCAGGGGGCACATTCTTCAGTCCAGCAACTCACTTGTCACTGCAAGCAGGTTTGTGAGGGCTGTTTTCTTGGTTGCTTTGGCAATGAGGGAAGTAGATGTGATTTGTCTAGCACAGCAAGCTTCTTGCTTTAAGTTTCTCAAAATTCTTTTCCAAATTCTTATTTGCATTCAGTGCTTCTCTATGCTGGGTGGTTCTGCAGCATGCACCTGCTTTTTGACTTGAAATTGTCAAATGTAATAGAGGAAAACTACATAAAATGCAAGAAATACCACACTGTCACTCCATTGTGACAATAAATTTGTAATTCCAACATTAAGTGACAGAGGGAGGGGCAAGGAGCCTGTTCTTATTTTTACTGACTTTAAAAAAAACATCATTTTAGTAAGTATATCCCTCTCCCAATTCTTTACCAACATACTCTAGTACACAAAACATGTTCACCCAGCATGGCACACATCAGTAGCACATAGACAGGAAACACCTGACACAAACATCCCTCTTCCACCACCCTCTCTTCCAGGCAACAGCAGTCCTGACAAGTCAGGAGGTACTCACCCATAGAATAAAGGTTGTCAAAATTCTGGTGCATCCGAATGATTTCATAATACAGCTCATCATAGCTGCTGGGAGTGGGCAGAAATGTGTCTCCATAAGTGATGAACATGTTGAACAGGTTCACAACCTATACAAGTGAAAAGAAGATGCAACAGGAACATTTATCCCAAATCTATTCTGCAACAGAAACAGTACAAATTATGTCCCAAAGTTTCAAAGGAATAGCTTGCCATTGCAACAGATAGTATTGCATTACTTCATTGTTTTATCTCTTATTTTTGTTATAGTACCAGGGAGATAGACAAGAAGCTTAAATACGGTTTTATCCAGGCCCAGAAAAATATATTTCTATTTTGCATACAAAGGACCACAGAACAAAAAAAGAACATTAACAAATATGGAAAATAAAATTAGGCCTTTCCTCACACAGATTTCTTTATTTCAATGAGCCAACCCTATAGTGATTCCAAGCACAGTCCTTTCTGAACACCTAGTGAAACAAACCTGTGCTTCATGGCCTTGTTCTCATATCTCCCTAACAGGCCAGAAATCCTTTCTGGAACCCTTTCAGCATTACAATTCCTTCCTAATATTAATTCACAATTAAGTTGTTAACATAAGAGGATTTGTGCAAGGGTAAAGATGCTCACCATAAGAGCAAGGGTGAAGATGTTGTGCTTGGCCAGCAACACAGTCTCATTAGACATGAGGAACTTCAACAAGTTGATCAAAGCTAGGAGAAAATAATAAGTATTTTTTAAATACTATAAAAAGCAAAGTCATTCTCAACAAGTCACTTATATACAGATGTATTTACATTATCTAGTGTAAATTAAACCAAATGCCAGCTATTCACCTCAGAAATATATCAATTTACATGTAGGATTTGGAGGTGCTTTTTGTTGCTAAAATACCCTGCTGAACAGGTGACAGCTATTTTACCTTCCCACATTTATTCTCCTTCACTGACTTCCCAATCAAATCTACTCAGGCTCAAGGTACATCTCTTGTTAACTCAGTCAGTTCATGGAGATTTTTCTGTCTGCTAGATCCTGGAGCGAGCTTTGGGGTTGGAAAATCCAACTGTCTCATTTCTGCTTCATATATCACCAACATGATGTATGCACAGTCAGCCCCAAACTGTCACTCTTGTTGATACACGCAGTTATAAAAAATAAAAAAGGTAAGAAAACCCCCACAGCACAGCTTTTCTGTAGCTCTGTGTCAATGCTGCTGCACTAGTAAAAAGAAGGATGTAGTACTTTATTGTGTCAGTTATCCGGGGCTGTGCTGTAAAGATTACAGATCTGGTTCACACTTGTCTTAAATAATGAAACAACAAAAGCTCCTGCTGTAACCACCCAGTATCAGTTAGTAACAGTGGTAATTAACAAAAAGGTTGGCTAAAAATGCTTTAATCAAACAGACTCTACAATAAACAACTGCATTCCATGCACTTGAATAAAATCTAAAGTTTCTTATCTTTTTTTTTCCTAGTTGTTGAAATTTTCAGAAAACTAGTTTCTTCTGCATTATAGCTGCTGAGGAATGAAAGCTGATGCCTGACTAGAAAAGGTTCTTAATGTACTCTCAGTCAACACATTTCAAGACTTAAAACAACTGAATTAAGATGTCCTGAAAAGTCAATGCTGGAACACTGTACACACCTTTTTAAAAGGTTCTTAATTATCTACTAATTAGTAACCTCATCCAGCAGAACAATACCAGGCATTACTCCAATTTCTTTCAGGCACAAGTAGAACTTGTTAATCCTTTTTTTCCCCCCATCATCATACACTATCCAGTAACAGGTGAGAAAATAAACTGTGATCTGGGAGAACTCCACAGTGAATGCAAAAAAGATCATTCAGCCCAAGGTACAGGCTATGAAAGAGGAAGAGATAAAGCATAGGGAACAGGAATGAGGTATGGGCAGAATTTAGATATTCATCCCCTTCAAGATTACAAAGTATTCACAAAAGGTAAAATCAAAAAACCTACAGCAAAAACATGCAAATACACTGATCAGATCTTGAACAAAACCCGTCAGATCCTGAATGCAGTCCTGCAACTTCTACTTTACAATACCAGAAGTTCACCGTGAGTATCACAAGTTTATATATGCACACCAAAAGGGAAGCCTACAGCCCCAAGGTGGGTATTTTCTCATCTCAGGCAGAAGCTACTTCTGTTTAATCTTCCAGCCAGTGGCTAATGCTGAACTGCAAACCAGGAACGAACAAAATCCTCTGCAAACTCCAGACATGCAAGTGATGTATCTTTCAGAGCTATTCCAGGATTAACCATCAGCAACAGCATTTCTCCCTTCCATGTCAGCAGCTCACCTCATGAAGCAGATACATTAACACCTTTTCAATCCAGCCACATAACTTTTCATGCCATCATCAACCCATCATCAGACAAACTCCTGGGACCAAAAGCAGAGTCTGGATTCCACAGTAACACAGCTCTGAAAATACCCGTCAGTTATTTTTCTGCAAAACAAACGTTTCAAAACAAAGTAGCAGGTACAGATGGGCTCTCCACCAGAGCAAAGATCCAGCTAAAAACAGGTTGCCAAGGTAACCAAACCTCCACAGCAAAGAAGTCTCCTGCAGTCAGTGCCTCGGACTGCAGACAGCTGCCCTCCATCTCTGTCATAGCAGCTCGCTGGCCATTTCTCCACCTTATAGTTACAAGCATGGTTTTACCTCCTTTCCAGCCACAAAAGTCCACAGGGCCACAGCTCATGAGCAGGTGCTGCTGTTCAACTACCAGCAGCTTGGGTTTGGAAGTGGAAGAAAAGTAGCAGAGTTCTGGATTTCCTATAACAAGTTGTGAGAAGCCTCATGCTCTTTTCTTTGCCTCTCACTCTCCCACAAGAGCCCTGCTGAATGGCCTTTGTCAGCCAGTCATGGCACAGCGTGACAAGAAACCACCACCAAACAGCCAAAAACAAAACATGAACGTGAAAGCTGTCTGTGATGAGGAGAAACTATTTTTAAAAGAATTGAGTGTATTTGTCCAGAGCACAAGCACTCACCAAATGACAAGAACAAGCATTCTACAATGGCCTGCTGCAATGCTTCTCATAGACCACCCTGAAGCACTTATACTGCTCTATATTGGTGACAACACTTGAAGGAGAACTTTCTCTGTTCTATCCCTACATTTGTTTCAGCCACTGTGATGAATCTGTTTAATTTTCCTGTTTCAGTTAGAAATAAGATTTTCTTCTTCTGCTCAAAATTTCAGTACTTATACCTGAACTGCACTGCATCATAGCCCACTCAAAACTACCTGTGCTGTCCATTCCTCAAGAAGTAGGAAAGAGAGGGATTTGCTTCACATGAAGAAGAAACTGAATGCTGGGCTCAGAGGCTGGTCAGAAGAACTGACTCATCAAAGGTTTACAGCCACTGTGTGCCCTGCACTGACTAATTTATCAACTGTTAGGAAACCGCACATTCCCAAAAAAGTTGCAGTGTTCCTAATTGGGATATACACTACATCAATACTAAAAGAGCAACCCATTTTTTTCCATAACAACACATTCTGCAGCATCCTCTACTCAAGTGTCTCTAAGGACCATGAACACTGTGGAACCTTTAAATCCCCCTGCTATGTCTCTGTAGTTTGTTTGTAAGGCAGACCCTGTACTGAAAATGAGGACAGCTATGCCCTGAAGTTTTCAGAACTAGCAACTTTTAGATCTGGCTTCATATGCCTAGTGCCCTTCAGCAACAATTATACACATAAAATAAACCTTTAGAGGAAAGTCCAACTGACTGCACACCCTTCTGTCCTTGAGCTCCAACAAAGCATTGATGCTACTATTCCTAAACAATCTGAAGCCAAACCAGATGTCTCACATTTTCCCTGCTGCAATCAACTGTTCGCCTCTCATACCCCACCTGCAGGCTGCCCTCTCACACTAGCTAGGAAATTATCCCTTTTTTTCTTCTCCAACAGAGAAGCAGCTCAGTCTCCCAGCTGCACAGGCAGACAGCAATGTGATCCTTGCTTGGCTCAGCCACCTTATCCCAAATTATCCTCCAGGATTTAACAGCAATGGATGGTTTGGGTATGGTATCTGTTTCAACATTAACTGGAAAACAGCACCATTTTTGCAATACCCTCTAGAGAGCCTTTTTTTCCTCCCTAAAGATATTTGTTCTTGGCATTTATTAACAGGACCTGCAACACCCACTGTGGTGAGTCTTGAAACATCCATAATTTCACAATACAACAGTGTCACCAGGACTTCTTTAGTAATAAAGGGAGAAGGCTGTAACTAAACAAGCAGCCACCAGTATGTTCACGTAAGTGACCTGAGCTGAGTACACTGGCTGTGCTCCTTAAATCAACAAGAACACAGCTTTGGACACCTTTGTTTACAGCCTCAAACCCAAGCAGACAATCATGCTGAATGAACAGAGAGCCATGTGACAGGCTGTATGTGAAAACTGGTATACAGCAGGCTGGCTCCTGGGCAATTTTCTCTCCAAAGGATTATTATAGTGAAAGGATGAAAAGTGACATCACAGATATCCTCCCTACTTTTTAAACTGAAATGACTGCAGTGAAAGAACCTCTTAAGCTCTTTTGCTGTACAGCTGCTTTTGAAGACACTTTCCCTTATCAACTTCTGTAGCCACTCTGACTGCCAAGGAGCAGCAGTACATGCCTGCTCAGTTATTTGCTGCCCTCCCTCAAGCCAGTCCTCTGTGAGAAGACTGTGGGCAGCCACCATCTCTCCTTTTTGTCTACCAGGAAGGAGGCAATTCCTGATACAGATGCCCTTCATTCCCCTCCTTCCCCTATTCCTATTCACATAGCACTTACATTCTCTCCCTGTAAGCCTTGTTTTAAACAGAAATACATTCAGCCCCAGCTAAATTTGGATTCACACAAAGTTTTTTTGTTTGGTTTTTTTTTAATGTCTCAGTGTTCCCTACTTGCATCATGTGTAATGCAACAGGACGATAAAGGTAAACCAAGAGAAAAGAGGGGAAAAAAAAGTAGTAGTACCGTCTCTTGGGCAAGTCAGAATGTAGCACAGACTGCCAGGAGCATCAGTGGGCTCTGATGTGTTACTGCACAACGGAGCAGAAGAGAATAGCCCTGAGACATTCATCAATGAGAGTCTGGATGGGTTGAGCACAGTACAGAGGCCTCTGTCACTGCATCTGCTGCACTTACAGGTCAAGAATCTTCTAATGGTGCATATAATGGCCCTCAAGAAAGGAGCAAGGGAGAGAGAGATGTGAGGGCTCCTCAGCTGCACCACAGCATCTATTAACAGGATCTAGTGCTCTACTTAATTCTCCAATTTTCTACCCTTCAACTTTCAGGGCACACAGGGAAGAGCAGTGATTTTCCCATTCTCTGTAGAAGTTACCATTGAACCAACAGTGAATTCAGTGTCCTCCTTCCAGCATCTCAAATCACAACCCCCTGAGAAGGATCCCCACCCACATATCACTAGAAGGCAGCTGATCATGACATCTGGGCAACACTTCCATGCTGCAGAGAAGTCATCTGCCTACAAGTGCTTCAGCAGCACAGTAACCACCCTGGACCTCCTCTAGCCACCCTCTCCACATGTACATAACTCCCAAGGCAAGGTCCACACTACTCACTGTAGCACAAGGTAAGTCAGATCTGGTTAAGGCTTACTGCAGCTAAGGCTGCAACTAAGAATAGAGTGGATTAGATTATTCAGGAAGCAGC